TGTTAACTTAGTGAAACCCAGGGTGCATCATTTTGGACCACAGAGGCATTACATATACAATTAAGTAGTAATCAAATTAACTATAGCTACATGCCAAATATCTAGGCTCCTGGCATTAAGTAGACTTAAATGTATTTTCCTATTTAAGCCATAGTGACCCCTAGGTTGGGGCAATTTATACCCCAGATATTTATAGGACCACAAGATTGTAGTTTATTCGGTGACTGGAGCTATAAAAGTCTTTGTTGTTTTTGTTTTTAAAATAACAAAAAACCTGCATTGAATCATTTGACTTTAAAGACACAGTAAGGCTCAGAAATGAATACAATGTCTTCTGTATAAAGTACAAACATGCATGTTATAATGTTTAAATGATGGATTTAGAGCATAATGATTTCGCTTGTCACCATTAAATGAAATTTAAACAAAAAGAAATCTTTAACATTTTTAAGTAGATTTCTTTTTTCAGAAAATAACTTAAGTAAGAAGCTACTTTTACAATTTTTTATTATGCTGAAAAAATGGACATATAGACAGATAGCAGGACAATAATCAATAGGAGAGAAGAGAAAAAAATTGCGTCACACAATTCAAGCAAAATGAATGTCTATATTTAGACACAGAAAATGTGTCGATATATCTGCGAGACTTCAGAACAAGCCATCCTTCAGACTGTCAAACAATTCCTGCTATTGATTTTTACTGTATGTCTTATTACAGGACTTTTCTTAGAGATTATTGCTGTCAAGATTTTACCAATACACTAGCCTGGTGTAAGTGCAAAGATAATCAGGGTGATTAATGTGTTACATATTAATGAATAACTGGCAAGATTTAACAAGTTGAACTATCAGTCAAGGTGATAAATATCCCCTACTCCTTATATACATATTTACAAAATTTAAAGGTCAATATGGTACTAAAAGAGCTTCATATGGTATTGTTTTGTCAAGCATCATAAGTAACAAAATTTTGGCAAATTCATGAAAATTCAATAATTTGACTTTCAAGGTCAAAATTAATTAGAAGGTCAAAGTCATACAGAATTGCCCAATTCCTAGGTGTTAATTTGGTTAGTCTAAATATGAATCAAATCAGTCATATAATAAGGTTTTGGCAATTCTAGCAAATTCAATGATTGGCATTAAGGATCAAGATTAATATTTAAAAGTCATGGTTTTACCAGCATTATTAATTAAGTCAATTGGACGGAAAGTGGTGTTTGCATAATTCATGAATTGAATGCATCCATTCTTAACAATGTTATGGCAAAATTTAGTAAGTTGCAATAAATAAAAGCCAAGGTTATTTTAAGGTCAAATTGAGATTTACTTACTGGTTATATGTAAAAAGTTGTTATTCCATACATCCATTACGAACAAAGTTATAGCAAATTATAGCCAACTTCAGCAAAATTTAAAATCAAGGTCATTTATTAGCCAAGGTCAAATTCTTTACCTTATGCATATGTAGACATTATGACAATTACTCGTGTCAAGTTTTTGAGCAGGTTTTGGGGAGAAAAAGCAAACCCAAGATTGTGTCTACAGACGCCCAGACAGATGTTCTGACTGATTTTATCAGAAAAAGTAAATGCTAAAAGGAGTCTGCAAAAGATTCATTCAGATTGCAAAATCCCTTTATAAAGACATATTTTTGGTGAATAAAAAAAAGAACCAACAGAAAAACTTGATTATCTAAACTGATTTACATAACTACTTTTTTTAAATTTTCTTGATATATTAACTCAACTACACTGAATTAAAACCAGTATTTTCCTTCTAAAAACCTGATTGATAAAGGCAATTTTACATGGGAATGTTTAGTGATGCTACAGGCCAAGTTTGGTGACGCTACAAGCCAAGTATGATGATGCAACAAGCCAAGTATGATGATGCAACAAGCCAACTATGGTGATGCTACAAGCCAAGTTTGGTGTTGCTACAAACCAAGTTTGGTGCTGCTACAAGCCAAGTTTGGTGATGCTACAAGCCAAGTATGGTGATGCTACAAGTCAAGTTTGGTGATGCTACAAGCCAAGTTTGGTGATGCTACAAGCCAAGTTTGGTGATGCTACAAGCCAAGTATGGTGATGCTACAAGCCAAGTTTGGTGTTGCTACAAGCCAAGTTTGGTGATGCTACAAGCCAAGTTTGGTGATGCTACAAGCCAAGTTTGGTGTTGCTACAAGCCAAGTTTGGTGTTGCTACAAGCGAAGTTTGGTGATGCTACAAGCTAAGTTTGGTGATGCTACAAGCCAGGTTTGGTGATGCTACAAGCCTGGTTTGGTGATGCTACAAGCAAAGTTTGGTGATGCTACAAGCCTGGTTTGGTGTTGCTACAAGCCAAGTTTGGTGATGCTACAAGCCAAGTTTGGTGATGTTATATCCAAGTTTGGTGATGCTACAAGCCAAGTTTGGTGATGCTACAAGCCAAATTTGGTGATGCTACAAGCCAAGTTTGGTGTTGCTACAAGCCAAGTTTGGTGATGCTACAAGCCAAGTTTGGTGATGCTACAAGCCAAGTTTGGTGATGCTACAAGCCAAGTTTGGTGATGCTACAAGCCAAATTTGGTGATGCTACAAGCCAAGTTTGGTGTTGCTACAAGCCAAGTTTGGTGTTGCTACAAGCCAAGTTTGGTGATGCTACAAGCCAAGTTTGGTGATGCTACAAGCTAAGTTTGGTGTTGCAACAAGCTGAGTTTTGTGATTTGGTGTTGCTACAATTCAAGTTTAGTGATGCTATATGTCATGTTTGGTATTGCTACACAACCAAATTTGGTGTTGCCTCAAGCCAAAGTAAGTTGATTCTACAATCGACGTTAGGTGATGCTACAAGCCAAGTTTGATGATTTGGTGTTGTTACAATTCAAGTATGGTGTTGCTTTATGCCATGTTTGGTGACACTACACAACGAAGTTTGGCAATGCAAACAAGTCATATTTGGTGATGCTACAAGCCATGTTAGGTGATGCTACAATTCAAATTTGGTGTTGCTTCAAGCCATAAGTAAGGTGACTCTACAAGCCAAGTGTGGTGTTTTTACAAAACCATATTTGATGAATGCCACTTGCAAAGTTTCGTTATGCAGCAAGCTATTTTTTGGTGATGCTACACACTATGTTTAACGACCCTACAAACTAAAACTTTGATGCAACACAAGTTTTAAGATGCTATAAATTTGGAGATGCTACAATAATCACATGAAAGACATTTCAAAGATTTTTCTCTTGTTCAATGAATCAGTGCTCTCTAATGCTGAAATGCTGAAAAAGTCTGTTTAAAATCATCATTAACAGGTAATACTATTTAATATCTTAATGGCCCAACTCTTAAAAGTTTCATGTCCTTAAAATATCTTTAATATGAAATGCCAGTGTTATAGACTGTATAAATTGATATGTGTATGTTTATTTATGGATCAGCTATAATGTATCCCTGTAATGACCTCCATCTAAGCTATCTTAGAATAGAGTCAGATAGCTTTGAAAACAATATTGATTTCTAACTTCCAATACACACACAAATACAACAATTTGCTATCAGGAAAAGTTACTCTTGCTTAAAGGAAGTTCAAATGATACAAAAGTTATCTTTCCTGTATTGCACTATCAGTGTGTAGGTCATATAATGATCAAAGTTTGTCCAGTATTTTGATTTCTTCTGAGCATTTTAAAGTGAAATTTTCAGTTTTGAAACAGATAGAAAGAAGAGATCAGTAAGACATATACAAGTATCTATATAGATGATCAAAATACCTTCAAGTAATGTATATATAATCAAATTTGTATATATTATTATATCTGGATTAAGACAATAAGTCATATGAAAGTAAAGTGGCTTTCAAATCTTTTCAAGTAAAATGCCTATGAAATGTGAATGTAAGAAATAAAACTTTTTCAACATATTTTGTTGTTTGTTTTTTGTTGTTTTTTTTAAATAATTTTCTCATGTCATAACAACCTGGATTGTCCTTGAAATCAGGTGACCGTTTCTAAATGTTCCATAAAAGATAATTAATTGTTCAGGTAAAGTAGAAGTCTGAAATAATCTCATGTGCAGCAACAAAGAATACAATTTTATGCCATTGTATTATAAAACATTTTTTAGAACTAAATGTAAACAACTTTTATTAAGAAAATAAGAGCTAAGTAACCACAAGCAAGGGCCACTATAACTAAATGCAAAAACAGAGACTTTAATTGGTGAAGGTCTTTCATAGGTGAAGGTCATATTTGAATTACTCAATGTAACATTAATAATAAAGATGCAGCACATTTAATAAAGCAAACAAGATCTTTTTTGGAAACAGACAAATGCCCTCAAGCAAGGGCAAGTCATGGAACGTGACCTTTGACTTCCAATAAATATATGCCACACCTAATTATTTCAAAATTCATCTACAAATGGCAAAGGACTGATAAGACACAACAACCATTAATATACTTTTATGAAATTTACCTTATTGGTCTTATGTGTAGCCTTGACATTCAAGCTATAAACTTGTTCTCACTCATTATAAATTGAAGTACCAAACATTTAGGCCAAGTTATTTTGAAATCAGTCAATGAAAACAGTACATCACTATCATTGCACTAGCATATCATGACTTTTGACATTTAAGTTTGACATTGAGATCACAAATTATCAGTTTTCGTACAAATAATAACACTCAAATGCTTAAACAATGCCAAGCCAGTCTATTATATGCTCATAGTGTGTTTCTCTACACACATGTTGAATATGACAGGAAAACATAAGCAGTAGTTCTATAAAAGTAGAGTCTATTGGAACTATTTGCAAAATGCATATGCTGATTCCAATGATTAAGAGGTGTCCAGCAAGTTGCATTTAGGTAACTACAAACAGTAAACAGCATGATCTGGAAAATATGGTTATTAGCTATGGTTTGGTGATCACCATCACCAGGCCAAAAACTAATGCTTAAAAAATATGATTCTATTTCAGAATAAATAATTTGATTGAAATGTGCAGTACTTACCCTGGAGGCAGCAAGCATTCCAGTCATCTGTCTCTCTATATAATCTCCTTTCTGTCCCTCTAATACAGGGGCTGTACCCTTCTCTATCTTATTGGTACTTAACTTGCGAACTGGATTGGTTAGCCATTTTCTACAAGTGAAAAACAAGAATGCCAAAGTGCCCAAAATAAGTACAATGCAGTTCAAATGATTATGCAACTTGTTTGACAAAAGATGACCCATGACTCCCAACCTGTCTTAAATATCATTCAAGGAAATATTCTGACAGAGTTAACATGTTGGCCTTAGTTTGCTCCCCTGAAATCCACTGCTAAATGAATTCAGTAGAATCAGCAAGATATATAAAATCTTTTGTAAGGTCTACTAAGATGTAACAAGCCAAATATATAAGCTCTAAACATTATTATTTCACAAAAGAAAATAGATGTCTTAATTGTGTTTTCCTAAATGTCTTTATTAACTTATGGAGCCCTAGCAATGGTAGGATACTATGTCATAGCCCATCTGCAAAATGCTCCCAATCAGACTGATAAAGTATTTTTTATTCTAAGAAATTGTTAGAATATCCATAAATAATGTAACACACCAAAGATTGTCTTTAACCCTTGATATAATTTTAAAAAACTTATAAATTTTTTCTGTCCGGTTTAAGCCTGAAAACGGGATAAATTTGTTTGGGAGTCCCAGTGGGAGCATTAAGTAAAAAAATCTTTTTTTACTTTTTCTAAAAGCAAACAAATAAAAGGTTTAAACAAAGACAACATTGTGGCAGCAAAATAAGCAATCCCTCAATAAATGATCCAAATACACATTTTCATATGCCAAGTTATAATGAAATCCCTCTAAGCATGTAGAAGTTTTGCTTTCAACAAGTGTTTTCAATGACTCTGACCATAGACCTAGAGACCTACATGTAGTTCAGGCGCAAGACACTGCTTCTCATAGTGGTGAAGATTTGTATGAAGTTTCATTATAATCCCTCCATATGTGTAGCAGATATGCTCTGGACAAAATCTCTATTTTTATCATCTTTAGTGACCTTGACCTTGCATATATTAACCTAAATTACATGTTTCACACCTGTAGTCATGATAATGACCATTTGTGTTTCAATCCCTCAATAAATGATGACTAAAAGGTCTAAATACACATTTTCATATTTTTATCTGAACTTTAACCCCAATGTGTGACCTTCACCTTGGCCGCAGGGGCCTAAATTTATCATGTGACATTCCGCCTCTCAATGGTAAACATTTGTGCCAAGTTATATTGAAATCCCTCTATGCATGTAGAAGTTTTGCTCCAGACAAGCGTTTTATCAATGACCTTGACCTTTGACCTAGAGACCTGGTTAATGTGTGTGACACAGCTCCTCATGGTGGTGAAAATTTCTATAAAGTTTCATTAAAATATTTCCATGCGTATTAGAAAATTAGTTTTTTTTTCTTTTTCTAATTTTAATAGGTAGTTCTTGTTACACTTTTGTCCAAGTATGAAGCATTTCCATACTGTCCAATTTTCAACTGTGCACATGACCCAAATGTGTTAGCTTTACATCAAAGGACAAGAAAGTAAGGTCACTTTCACAAATTATCTAGGTCAGCTGATATCTAATAATCATTCACTTTTACATCTGAAAACTGTGCACATGGTCAAATTTTCAAAGTGTACATTAAAGGTCACTTTTTTAAAAATCTAGGTCAGCTGATATCACAGTTTAATTTTACATCTGAACCTATGCACATGGTTTTAAATTTCATAGATGTATATCAATGGAAGAGAAAATAGGTCACTTTGTCAAACAATCAAGGTCAGCTGATATCAAAGTTTAATTTAACATCTAAAATTCTAACACATGGTCCAAATTTCAAACCTGTAAATCCAAGACAAGAAAGTAGGTCATTTCATCCAATTATCTAGGTCATATAATATAAAAAGTTTAATTTTACATCTTAAACTGTGCACATGGTCCAAATCTCATAGTCATTATAGGTAAAACTGGGAGAATTTCATAAATTCATTAATTTGACCTTGACAGTCAAGGTCAATACATTAAGAATATTTTGGACTTTTCCAGCTAATCTGTAGGTAAAAACAAACTCCTACAGTTACAGCTTTGAAAAGAAGCGCAACAGGTTGACTTATCTATTGTGACAGGCAGTGAAGCTATAACGGTAAAAGTTTGTACCTACAGATTAGCTGGGGAAAACCTACATTTGCCGAGTTCCATATAACATCTATTAAAGGTTAAAGTCACAACTTACTTATTTAATACGTTAGTTTGGTAGCAAGTTTTGTTTTGTCCAGTTATAAATCAAATCCGTACATAAATAACAAGAGGGCCATGATGGCCCTGAAGTCGCTCACCTGTACATAGGCCCCCTGAGCGGGGCCAGTTTAAACCCCAGGGCTTTTATTTTAACAAACTTGGAAGACACCCATTAGAAGATGTTTCATGTTAAATATCTTAGCTTTAGCTCTTTGGGTTCTTTAAAAGAAGATTTTTTTAAGTTTTTACTATATGTATATAGGGAAAATCAATGACCCCCTGGGGCAGGGCCAATTTTGACCCAAGGGCTTTTATTTGAACAAACTTGGTAGACATTCATTAGAACATGTTTCATGCTAAATATCTTAGCTCTAGCTATTTTGGTTCATTAAAAGAGGATTTTTAAGTTTTTACTATATGCATATAGGGAAAATCAATGACCCCCTGGGGCGGGGCCAATTTTGACCCCAGTGCTTTTATTTGAACAAACTTGGTAGACACCCATTAGAAGATGTTTCATGCTGAATATCTTAGCTCTAGCTCTTTTAGTTCTTTAAAGAAGATTTTTTAAGTTTTTACAATATGCATATAGGGAAAATCAATGACCCCCTGGGGCGGGGCCAATTTTGACCCCAGGGCTTTTATTTGAACAAACTTGGTAGACACCCATTAGAAGATGTTTCATGCTGAATATCTTAGCTCTAGCTCTTTTAGTTCTTAAAAGAAGATTTTTTAAGTTTTTACAATATGCATATAGGGAAAATCAATGACCCCTGGGGCGAGGCTAATTTTGACCCAAGGGCTTTAATTTGAACAAACTTGGTAGACATCCATTAGAACATGTTTCATGCTAAATATCTTAGCTCTAGCTGTTTTGGTTCATTAAAAGAAGATTTTTAAGTTTTTACGATATGCATATAGGGAAAATCAATGACCCCCTGGGGCGGGGCCAATTTTGACCCCAGGGCTTTTATTTGAACAAACTTGGTAGACACCCATTAGAAGATGTTTCATGCTAAATATCTTAGCTCTAGCTCTTTTGGTTCTTTAAAAAAAGATTTTTTAAGTTTTTACTATATGCATATAGGGAAAATCAATGACCCCCTGGGGCGGGGCCAATTTTGACCCCAGGGCTTTTATTTGAACAAACTTGGTAGACACTCACCAGAAGATGTTTCATGCCAAAAATCTAAGCTCTAGCTCTTTGGGTTTATTAGAAGAAGATATTTTAAGTTTTTTCTTTTGGTTGCCATGGCAACCAGAGTTCTGCATGGAATTAAATTCTTTGAACAATTTTCAAAGGTGACCACCAAAGGAACATTCCTGTGAAGTTTGGATGAAATTGGCTGAGTGGTTAATGAGGAGATGTCATTTAAAGTAAAAGTTTACGGACGACGGACGGACGACAGACGCCGGACGGACGCCGGACGCCGGACGAAAAGCGATCACAAAAGCTCACCCTGTCACTTTGTGACAGATGAGCTAACAAAATAATGACAATTTAACTAAAATTCAAAAAACTGACCTTGACAGTCAAGGTTATCTAAAGCTCAAGGTCAGTTCAACCTTTTAGAAGGTATTGTCCAAGTTTGTTCAAGTATGAATATAATCCATTATTAATTACCAAGTTACAGTCAATTAAAGCAAACATCAGTGAAAATTCAATAATTTAACCTTCAAAGCCAAGGTTATCAATGAGCCAAGATCAATTTAAGTTTGATATACATAAATGTCTCATCCTTAAAAATTGTGGGTGTCTCAATATAAAGTAAACCTTCATTAAAAAAAAGATATAGTCAGTTACAGAGAAAAAAGATCATTTTAATAATTTGACCTTAAAAGTACAGGTCGCATTTATGAGTGAAGGTCAAGGTCGGTCTGGTTAACTTTTTGTGGGTCTATCCTAAAAAATTGGATTGTGTTCAATTTTGAAAGAACAAAGTTATAGCAACTAATAAATCAAGCAAAATTTAGAAATTTTTTAATAAAGGTGAAGTTTAGTTTAGTTAACACAAACCATTTTTATACAAAGTTCAAGGCCCTGAAACTATTATTCAGTTTTTTAAAACCTTTTTTGCAAATTGCATATTGCATATTTGTAGTCGAGAAAATGATTAGAAATTGTGAATTTTAAAATCTTTTCCAAGTTCAAGGTCAAATATTAGACATTTTACCTTGAAGGTCAAAGTCATTAATGAATGAAGGTCAAGGTAAGTCTGGTCTACTTGAAGGTCTTGTCCCAAGGGTTGTTGTGGCCAAGTATGAAGACAATACACTAATAACTTAAAAAGTTATGATCAATGTTAAAAGTTTGAGGCAAAGGGAACGCCGACATAACTGTATAGCAATACCTCTATTTTATTTCTTTGAAAATGCAGCTGCTCAGGGGCATAACAGAGCTGTCAACGCAAGTGACAAATGCCCCCAAAAAGGTTTCTTAAGCATGCAGGTATTATAATAAAAAGAAAAGAGAGTGAAAGTAACTAATTGCTGAATATTGCTCTTGGTAAATTAAGTGCTATTTTTATAGCAAACTTAACAACCTTGGGACAAGGGTCTTTTGATGCGACACATCATCTTGATGTGGTAGATATTTATGCCAAAGTTATTATAAAATCCTTCAATGCATGACAATGTTTACAATTTGGAAACTAATGTGTACCTTCAAACTCTTCTTATGAGCATAAGTACCTTCAAACTATTAGATCGACCTTGACCTCCAAGGTAGGAACATGGGTCTTACACACACAACACGTCATCTTGATGTGGTAGATATTTGTGCCAAGCTATCTTAAAACTCTCCAATGCATGACAAAGTTATAGTCCGTACACGAATGTGTGCACCTATAATCTCTAATTGTGATAGCGTGAACCTTCAAAATAATAAGTGTGACCTTGACCTTTGAAGAAGGGATGTGGTTCTTGGACACGACACAATGTTGTCATGAGATAGACATTTGTGCCAAGTTATTTCAAAATCCTTCAATGCATGACAAAGTTACAGTTCGGACACAAATGTGTGTACCTTGTGATAAAGTGAACTTCAAAAAGGTAGTGTGACCTTAACCTTTGAAGTAGGGACGTGATTATTAGACGCGACACATCATCTTGATGTGTTAGACATTTATGCCAAGTTATTCTAAAATTTTTCCATGCATGACAAAGTTACAGTCCGGACACAAATGTGTGTACCTATAAACTCTTATTGTGATTAAGTGAAACTTCAAAATGTTACTGTGACCTTGACCTTTGAGGTAGGGACATAATTCTTGGACGCGACACATCGTCTTACAAACCCTATTACAAGTAGAGAAACTGATAGCGAACAGCAAGGATCCTGATCAGACTGCGCGGATGTTTATGTTGGTTTTGTCGTGGCGCGGCTCATATCTTACCTGAAACTTGTACCACTACTTCTCCTCTTCACAACTGGTGATGATGAATTCAAATTAGCCATTGAAGTACTGGGACTGGCTTCTGGAGAGTCTAAAATATATAAAATAATTCATTTTATCATGAGATGCATATTTGTAACAAAATCATATCACAATTTTTAAACTGATCAATTATGTAATTTTACTTGAGTATCTAGTCAACTTATGCCTTTAGATTCATGCTAATTTGCATGAATTTTTTTTATAGGTATTAAAAAGTAAAATATTGGTAAGTGAACATAGAAATTGATTACAATTTGCAAGCAGCACTTACATTCCACAACAATTACCAACAAGAGGGCCATGATGGCCAAAATATTGCTCACCTGAATATTGATATTCTACTTGACTAGGAACAATTAATATTGTAAACTTTGAATAAAAGCAGAAATAAAATCTAAATCAAAAACTGATATCACACAGTTCATATTTGTATTTGAAATAGTGCATGTATAAAAACTACACTGGTTGCTGCTATTGCTAAAGGGAAAAACAACAGATCTATAAGAGATAATTACTGTTTGCTAATACAAAATAAATGGTTTTCTTGGAAGTCAGTGATGTAATATGAAAATTCAATAGTAGATTTACTTTTTGCTATGGAAAGTTGATGTTTGCTGGTTGCTATTAAAATTTACAGTTTGCTATGAAAAGTCAATGGCTGCTATGAAGTCACTGGTTGCTATGGAAACTAAGCATTAGCTATTGTAGATTTATAGAATAATTTTTAAAAAATTCTACTACATACATATAAGGTAAATCTATGTTTGCCTTATGCATGGCAATTTTAACCCGAACAATATTTGTAGAGGTTTGAACAATATTTGTAGAGGTCCACAAAAGACAATGTTACATACCAAATATCTAAGCTCTCAGGTAACTGTTTAGCCTTGTTACAGCCAGTTACCCTTGAGCTAGATATTCCGATCTGTACCGGCAGCCAGTGTAAGATTCTTATAATCTAAGCTCTAGCTCTTTGGCTTTTTTAAGAGATTTTGTTTTGTTTTACTATATACATATAAGGAAAATCAATGACCCCCTGGGGTGTGGCCAATTTTAACCCCAGGGCTTTTATTTGAACAAACTCAGTAGAGACCCACTAGAAGATGTTTCATACTAAATATCTAAGCTCTAGATGTTTTTTAAAGTTTTTTGTCTTTCCATTGCCATGGCAGCCAGAGTCCTTAAAGCATGGAATTCAATTCTTTGAACAATTTTCAAAGGTGACCACCTAAGGAACATTCCTGTAAAGTTTTGATGAAATTGGCTTAGTGGTTTATGAGGAAATGATGTTAAAAATTCTACAGACCAACAACTGGATGAAAAGTGATTACAAAAGCTCACCATGTCACTTTGTGACAGGTGAGCTAAAAAGAGGTTAAAATATGCAGAAATAGCCTTTACTCACAGTTGAAAAATGATATAAACTGCAAAATCAGGCAATAATTGCACATAACATGTAATTATTACTTTATCTTTATACTTTTCCTAAAATCTTAGAATAATTTTTTCTCTTATAAATGAAATATTTTGGTTCATATAGAGGCGTGCAGCTTTAAAGTGTATAAAGCTATGTATATAATTATATCTGCTGCCAAAATTATTGTTTTGAATTAAAAAAAAAAGAACACTTCCAAATTGCTTGACAGAAATGTGGTAGTATTGGCAAACAAATGGCTCATGCACAAAATCGTTGCTAAAGAGATAAAATCCTACTTAAAATAGCAGAATAATATTTTGTTCCGGAACATTTTATTCTGTTTATGTTATAATGTTAATGATTAAGTGTTTTCATAATGGCCTTGTTATTCGGCTGAAGACTGTCATATTAGCCAGAGGCCAAAGGCACTTAATCACACTTAATTATTGACAATTTTATTAATTAACTAGACATAATCTAAAAAAGTTAAGTACTTAGTGAACAAAAAAAAATTACTAAATTGACATTCCCATGTTGTGAGGTATTCCAAATGAGATTTTTGTTTTAAAAATGTCTTGGAAACCTACTGTACCTTGCAGCAATCCAAAATGGTGGTTTTTTTTCGATGGAAAAATGCAGATTCATAATGGCCGAGCTAGAGAGCCAATCAAAATTCTCAAATCTCATTATAGCCAGAATTTTCTCACATTTAAGGCCTTACTTTTTCCATAATGGCCATGTTTTATGTTCATAATGTCGTGGTGAACTTCATATTAGCCTTACATTTGAAGTGAAAACGTGCCATATATTTAAAAGTTAATTAACAAGAATCTGTAACAGAGATACCAACGTCCCCCGCCTCAGGGAAGTTTTATATGAAGCATAAAATTGTGCTATTTCAGAAGATTCAGGTATGGATCTCAGGACTTTCAGTCCAAAATTATATTCAATGCTAGACATGCAAATGCAACAATAAATTTATTAAAGAAATAAAATGAAACACGGAATATAAAAA